CGTAGTTGACGTCGAACGACTGCGTCAGCATCGGGATCGCCGTTTCGCGCTTCTTCAGCTTAGCCGCGACAAGGTTGTCATCGATGGAGGTCGGCCGCCCAGTGGTCTTTACGATGTACGTGAACGGGAGGTCACGGGTCACGAGCGAGATGAGGATGAGACCGAGGCCGAAAATGTCGATCTTGTCCGTGTACGTTGTGGCGCCGCCGTCAGCCGTCATCAGTGTCTCGGGGGCACCCCACCGAGCTTCCGAGACACCAGAGTTGAGGTACGACTCGTACGCCTGGACCTGGCGCATCTTGAGGCCGGCGAAGACCTTGACGTGGCCTTTTGCATCCACGTAGACGCGGGACCACGAGAGGTCGCGGTGCATGACGGCGAGGTTGTGAATATGGACGATGGCCTTGGCGATTTGGACTGCAATGTGCAGCTTCTCAGACCACGTCGCGTCTTGCTTGTCCATGAGGTACGCGCTGAGGGTCATGCCCGTGACGTACTCGACGTACGCGATCGGGTCGTCCGAGTCGAGGTTGCAGGCGCCGATGAGCCGGAGGAGCGTCCCGTCGCCGCCATTGAGCCTACAAGACATTGAGCATGACGCATGCAATTGCGGAGGTAGAAGAGCGTACGCTTGCATGATGGCTAGGGTCTTCTTGAAGCGCAGGACAACTTCTTGGTTGCCTTTGAAGTCCTTCTTGAGCCGGATGCGCAACACGTGCGGGCCGTCTTGGAGCCGTCCAGGCTTAAGCGACGCGAATGGGAAGTCGCGCTCGTCGAAGTCCAGGAGGCCTGGGATGTACTCGAAGGTGGCGTCGTCGACTTCCATGACCGAGTTGAGTCGCTGCTGCATGAGGTACATCGCGCGCTCCTTAGTGAGGCGCTGGACGTCAGCGTCGATTCTGGCAGCTGCCGCATCACCCAAGCGCCGGGCTCCTGCGACTTGGGCAGCGTAGAGCTCGAGCTCGGTCTCGTGCAGGCGTGTGAGCGCTTCGACCTCGGCAGCCCGCTCGTGCTTCTCCTTCTCGAGCTTGGCCTTGGTCTCCTTCAGCTCACGCTCGAGCTCCCGGATGCGCTCTTTGTACGGGTCGAGGACCGGCTTGGACGTGGGTGCTTCGTTGCTTTGCTCGGCCCCCATGCCAAAATCCTCAAGCAGGCAGCAGCAGGCTTTTCCACGTACACGTGGTAAATGGTGAAAAAGGCGTGTGATTTGAGAAGGTTGAAGTGGTCGACTATGTGATTTGAGAGGTAAATTCAAAATTCGATCCAACGGCACCGGTACATCTGCTCAGGGACCCAAGTCTTCTTTATCGTGAGGACCTATGGTGGCGTTGGACCCTAGCCCGCCTTGGCTCTCGGAAGTGGTCGATCGCACGAGAAGTCAAGGTACGCGAGGCCTCGAGTGACGTGAGTTCATTCATTCCTCCGCGTTGATGTGGTATACTAGCACTGTACTAGTACAGTACTACTACTATCAAGAGCAAGAGCACGTACACATGACGCTCCACAAAGACGTCGACGCATGTTTCGTCCTCGCTCAGCTCGCCCGACGCAGCCAGCGCCCGCACCAAGACAAGTAGGAGCGCCATGAAGCTCTTGAGAGAACGCATTGCAAAGAGTGATTTTGTAGCCACAAAGCATGTCTTCGCTAGGACATGGTGCGGAGCTGAAGAGAGGGACGCATCGGTGACAACGTCTCGCCGCGAACGGACTTGCTAGCAATCCAACGGGCAGAGGAACTGGACGTCGATCTGGGGACATGTGTGCGCTCGTCCGCCACTTGACGCTGCGCATTTCTTGACTTGACCGACGAAAACAAAAATGAGTACGGGTCAATGGTTGCTCGCAATGCGTACTCCTGGTAGCGGTCGCCCGGCATAGCGAGCACAAGGGTTTCTGCGGCTCGTATGGCGGGAACCAGAGACGCACATAGCGTCAAACCATATTCAAATACAACGCCTTGCGCGACCTACTAGTCATTTTGCCGATGTTCCGTCATGAGACCAGGTTCGGACGTGCGATGCCAATTTCCACATGTCCCCAATAAGAATAGAAAGCATCCAAGAGTCCTCCAAAGCTTCAGCGACTGCAAACAGCGCATGCACCGAACCATTCAGATCACATATGTAGTTGATACATTGATAGATATTCCGCTACGGCCCATCGCGCCAGAGCGCTTGCGCCACCAAGTTGCGCTTCCGGTGCCCTTCCGCCGAAACGTCGCGGCCCTCGACGATACGCGCTCCGTAGTCCTCGAGGCGCTCTCGGAGCTGGCCGCCGAACGCAACCGAAACGACCACTTTGCCGATCGTGCCGCCGTCGTTGCCGTAGCCGTAAATGTCGCAGACCATACTTCGGGGCGCCGAGAGACTGAGACGCCCTTGCTCGGTGACGAGGAAGTCAACGAGCGGCATCGTGGCCTTCCCGACGCGGCGGCCACCAAGGCTTGCAAAAGGCTCGAAGCCTGGCGTCTTGAAAACAAGTTGGAGCGTCCAATCGACCGGGTCGATGTTTTTGATCGTCGTCTCCTGGCTGAAGGCGTGCGACGTGGCATCTTCCGCGTGGCTCACGAGCTTGACGGGCTTGCGACTGACGTCGTCGACGCTGACCAAGCACTCGAGTGCGTACGAAGAACCAAACGTCGGCTCGAACGTCATGCCAAGCGTCTTGTGCACGGCCACCGTAAGGTTTACAGTCGCGCCGCAGGTCGGCACGGTCGTTGGACCACCGTACGCCTGCAGCATCGCTTCGAGCCGGCGAACGACTTCGGGTGCCGTGGGCCGACGGTCCGGGTCCAACTGGATGCAAGCAAACGCGAGTGCTTGGTACTCGTTGGACGGACACGGCCCAAAGTCGCTGGTCAAAAGCGTCTGGGCTTGCGTAGGGTCTTGAAGCCTGGTGCAGAGCAATCCGTCGTC